CTTTTTTTACGTCTACGTAATGACCCCCCCCCCGTATTATTTAGGGTACCTCTTCCTTCCTCCCTCACCTCCCCTCCTCTCCCCCCGGTTTATAATCTCGGAAAAGGAAGAAATCGAGAACGAGTCAAATAAAAAAAAAAAAATTATTTAGTTCGTGATTTCAAGGTGAACTTGAATTTTTATTATTATTATTATTATTATTGAATGTCCCCCCACAAAAACTTTTCTTTTTTTTTTATTATTAGGTTTCCCTGAGGTGTTTCACAGACAAAATTTTTTTTTTCTAGTTTGATTGATTTATTGACAATTAAATGTTGAAAAATTTTTTTTTATTCTTTAATTTAAAAGTTTTAAAATAGTTTCCGGTAAATAAATTCGGTAAATATTATTATTATTATTATCATTCTTTATATATATATATATATATATAATTAAAAGCGTTATAGATGGTTTTTTGGGATGCAAAGGGGAGAAAAAGAAATTAGAATTTATTATACGTTTCAAAAATCGTTTATCAACATTTTTTTTTGTATTCTCTCCTTACTAACGATTTTTAAATTTAAAAAAAAAATGGCGGCCGTCTTCTGCTATATATTTTTTTTTTTTTTGTTTAAAATGAAAAATCGATATATTAAATTAATCGATGCAAAAGTGAAAAATATTTAAAGATCGATAATAAATAATTTTTAAAAAATAAACGAGAAAAAGAGAAGACGGTTAGAAAGAAAAAAAAAAATGGCGGACTTTTTCATTTTTTTTCTTTTTCTACTTAATTTTAACTTTGTTAATTAATAATAATAATAATTTTTCATTTTCTTTTTATTTATTTATTTTTTTTTTAATATTTATTACTTTTAACTTTTAAATTTTTTCAAAAACTAATAAATAATCATTTATTTTTATTTATTTATTTATTTTTTTGTGAATATATTATGAAAAATTAATTTTTTTAAAAGAAATAAATGAATGAAAATAAATTATTTTTTAATTAATTATATTTATGATCTTTTCTTTTCTCTCTCATTTTTGCAACGAATTTTTTATAAAAGAGAGAGAGAGAGAGATATATTAAATAAATAAATAAATAGAAAAAATAATCAAATTGATTACACGTTAAGAAAAAATTTTATTAAGTTATTATGAATTAATTATTTAACTTTTTTTTTTGCTTTAAAAAAAATTACCGTCGCCATTTATTTAAATAATATAATAATAATGATTTTTACCTTTTTGTTTGAGTGTGACGTCATCCATTGAATTTTTTTTTTTTAATGAAGTCTTTTTTTTCCATTTCGAAATGTTAAAAAAAAAAAAAGAAATAAATAAATAAATTTAACGCTTTATAATATCGTAACGATTTTTTTTTTTTGTTTTTGATTATGAGAAAATAATAATGATGATAATGATGATGATGATGATGTTACGACGATTTGTTATGCCGCCTTTTTTTTTTTATAGAAAATATAATGACCCGAAAATTGAAAAAAAATTCATTTTTAACACCACGTTAAGTTACGTAATTAATTTTTTTTTTTAACAAACAAAAGTTTAAATTTTCTCATTTTTAACAAACGAAAAAAAAAAAAAATTATTCGTAATTTATTTAATAATAATAATAATAATAATAATAATGATTGAATAAAACTTTATGAAGAATGTTTTAGGAATGGCGCCATTTTGAATTTTTATTTATTTAAAAGAAAAAGAAAAAAATTTGTTCTCACGTTAAAATAAACTCTCAAAATGGTGAAATTTTTTTTATTTCGCGAAAATTGTTTAACAAAATAATAATAATAATAATAATAATAATAATAATAATAATAATAATAATAATAATAATAATAATAATAATAATTTGTGTTTAAACAAACTCTCATTTTTAACGAGAACAAAAAAAAAATTTGATACGTTTAAAATTAAAAATGTATTTAAAATAAATTTTTAAATGTTCACAGAAAACATATCAAATTCAAAAACTTAATTGTAATTATTTTATTATTATTATTATTATTATTATTATTACTTTTAAAAAAATGACGATTGGATGTGTTTGTATCAAAGTTTTTACTTACCTCTTATTTCTGGTTTTCCTACAACGATCCCTCAGGAGTAGATGTCTATTGAATAAGTTTTTCCCTAAATAGCACCAAATCAATTCTTCTTTTATGCTTTCTTGAGTTCATCTTATTCCTTAACTCGGCACTGGTCACAACAGCATCCGTAGAGTAATCAGAATCTGTAACAAATTTAGAAAAGAATAAAAATTGTTATGGTTTCTTCTTTGTCTTGTTCTTAATGTTGTTTGATGTTACCCATTCAAGTACTAAACATGGCGGACGTCCATAACTACGGTGATCTGACGAGAATCATCTAGTCCAGTCTGCTTTTTTACATATCCAGTCTTCTCCAAAATTTCTCCAGAATTACACTTCTCTATGGCTATATCCAGTCTTCTGCAAAATATATTCAAGAATTTTATCTAGACTTATTTAGATTTTTCCAGACATTTCTTCTTATTATTTATTACCTGTTTAAAACACGCGTAATATTTTTTCTTTTTTTTTTTAACGACTATAATTTTATTAAATCTCGTTCGAGTATATCGAATCGCGAGATTTTTACAAATTTAAATGAAATATTGTTTTAAAACTTAAATAATTTCAACGTAATTTAATTACATCGTATTTATAATAACGTTTTAAAGCATTTTTATCGATTATCGAAAAATGTATCGAATGGATCGATATCTCGAAAAAAATAGCAGTAGTTAATAGCAAGACGCGCGCGCGCTCGCGCGGGAAAAATAAAAATAACAGACGCGACCCGTTTTTATATTTAAATAAAAATGATTTGTGATTTTAAAAATAAGAGATACGATCCTGTTTAAAAATAGTAAAAAATTTAAATTCAACGAATCGGAAAATGGGATTTTATTTTTCACAATTGTGAATTAATCAGTCGTCAATAACAAAAAAAATATCGAAACGAACCGGAAGTTGTTGT